TTTAATGACTATTACTAAAGTTTAGAAACTTTCTGAAGGAGAATGAAAAAAAAAAAAACAACTAAAAGGAAGGCCAAAACTGTCATTGGGGTCCCTATAGACCAATTAATGAAAAGCAATTCACACTAAAGTATGTGTGGGTTCAATAAAAATGTATTGAACTTTAAAGTTAATGGAGCAAAAATTAAGATCAGAGCCTCCATTTCTTGATAAGAACAGTTTCCTAAGTCATTTAATTAATGCTTTATCCTAGGGGAAAAAATTAGTCCCAGTATTATAGTAGCAAGACATTTACCAAATTAGACACAGGAAAGAAAAAAAAAAGGCACGGATTCCTAAAAGGCTTTGTTTTAGCATTACTGCTTTGCAATCACAGGACAAAGTTGTATAGACATATTATATCTAAACATCACCTATTTCCCTGATACAAATTTTCAAGGAGGAGGCCTTTCTTATTCCCTATACGATGTAACTAAACCTCAATTGAACATTATGATTTAACTATTTTTAACACCAAAAACTTCATTTATTCTCCAGGATGCTTTCAATCATTTGGCAAACACCGTGATACAAGCTAGAGAAACAGGGGTAGTGAAAACCTAATCCCTGCCCTTAGTAAACTCATAGGTTACTTGGAGAGACAGAAGGCCAATGATTACAACAGAATGTAAGAATTGTTAATAGGAAGAGATTTATTTAGTGAGTGGGTATTAAAATCACAGAAGGGATTAAGAAAATAGGTTAAGTAATGACTGTAATTTGAAAAAGTAATACTAATGCTAACTCCAAATTTCCATGGCTTAACATAACAAAGGTTTATTTCTCACTCCAGCTACGTCTGATGTGGGTCTGGACAAATCACCCGGGCAACTGGATTCAGAAATATGGGCTGCTATGAACGGTGGCTCAGATTTCATCACTAGACCACTTCAGTTGCCACAGTAGCTAAAAGGGTTGGGAAAGTCTCCAACTAGCATGCTTTGGACTGAAATGCTCCCCCCTCCACCTGTAAATTCATATATTGAAGCTTCAACACCCAACATCACTCTGTTTGGCCATAGGGCCTTTCTGGAGGTAATTAAGGTTAAATGAGGTCATAAAAGTGGGGCTTTGAGCCAACAGGATGAGTGTCCTTGTAAGAGAAGACACCAGAGAACTTGTTTCTTCTCCCTCCTTTCCACCAGGTGAGGACGCCGGGTAATGGCCGCTGTCAGCGGTCCAGGGAAAGAAACTCATTGGCCGCCAGCACCATGGTCTTGACTTCCCAGCCTCCAGAACCGTGAGGCAGAGCACAGCTAAATTTCTGATGTTTCAGTCCCCCAGTCTGTGGCACTTTGCAAGGGCAGCCCAAGGCGACTGCTACAAGGCATTTAAATACCTTGGCACAGAGGCCATGCATGTTACTTCCGAGAGCAGCCCATTTTGCAGGACGCTGTCTCACGGGGCCTCACCGAACTGCAAGGGGGGAGTAAATACGGGGAAGTAGATGGGATATTTAGGAAGCATGACTGTCTGCCACACTCATCTCTTGCGGTCAGCAAAGGTCCCTTTCCTCCCTTCTTCCTATACATGCAATTGTTCCCTGAGGGAGACAACCCCAGAGCAATCCATCTAGCCACTGACGCTTGCTCCAAGTTCAGGATCTGGGTGATGTGCAGTGGTGTCTGCATCAGTTCCAGTTAGGACCTCTCTTGGTTCCAAAAGAATGATCTAGAAAGAAATGTTCTTTCTCTATCTACCCTGACCCAATGAAGAGTGGTTGAAGAGGAACAGAAAGCTTACTTCCAAAGCAAGCGCTCCCCTTCAAGCAAAGAAGGAATAAGAGACACCAGGCAGGCAGGGCAAGCCCAGGTAATTCGGAAACGCTGTTTACCAGAGAGCCTGAGGGTCCTTACTCAGAGGGTTAACACTGATGCTTGACCCGCCTCCTCTGAGGGAGTTGGTTATCCTTTGCTCCCCTTGGCTCTGCCTTCTGCCCTCTGGGGAGATTCTCCTTCATCGTTATCCTCCTTGGCCATATCTAAAGTGGGCATTGGGAACGTGCTCTGCTTGAGGTTTAGCACAAGTCTCTGCCCACTTTCTGCCCTGCGAAGTTTATGTGAGAGATCTGATTATTGTAAATCTTAAGACGTCACAAACATCTTTGGCTTAGGTTCTTTTTCCCTCATAAAAAGCCGTCAAATATTAATAGGTTGCTTGTATTTTTAATTCCAGCTGAATCTATGTACCAAGGGCCATTTTTGGGGTGCTTTTTAAGACATACTTCTCATATTTATTGCAATATTTTGTTTCCTCTTCCCCCTAAACTCTTTCTTTTGATTTAAAAGTGCTACCTTGGCTTGACAAGTTCTGCAGAAGCTCACTCAGTCAATTCTTTACCATGATTCATTTTTATCTAATTAAAAGATTATACCAGGCACCATACCCTTAAACTTGACATACTTCAATCAATTGAGAGGTTTTAGCAATAGGTGTGGAGACGATGCACTTACTCTGCTTTTTTCCTTGAAGCTGTTTTAACTTGCTTTTCTCACTCAAAAGATTTCTTTATTTTATTTCCTACTCTTTGGTGACCCAACATAATAATCTTTTCCAATTCTGCAAGGTTTTGAATTTTTCAAATCCCTTTCATGTTTGCTTGCAAGTTCTCAATTTTTTCCCAAGATTTTTTTCTTTGTAGTAGCTTTCCAGCCAACACACATTATTACCATTTTGCTTCTAACTTCCTCCCCTAGATGTTGTTGGGAAATACAATTAAAAAACTATTTTCCCAATCTGGAAATCCACTCTACCAAGGTCATCGAGAAAGGAGACACTCTTATTACTGAATATGGATTAGAGATGGATATAATGCCCATCACAGGCAATCTGCTAAGAGATTGGAAAGACAAAAATCTCATCCTTTCAACAGTCAAGCAGGTATAACCCACCACCTATATGTTCTCCAGATAAACAATAACTGGTCTCACATAAGGAACTTGACAGCACCGTTTGTCACCCAGAGCTCATCCAAGAGTCGGCTGGTAATTGGGGTGACCATCTGTGTTAACTAGTTTGTTTTCTCCAGAGGAAAACCAAACTTCTAACGTCTTTAGGACAGGAGGTAGTTTGCAATTTGGAGCAAGGGCCCACTGAAGTTAGGCTCCCCACCTCCTTCCCGACACTGGGAGTTAAGGGCCTCTCTCCCTAAAGTTTACACTTCAAAGAGGTGGCTCCTTGAGTTTATTTTTTTATTATTATTATTTTTTTATTGTTAGTTTCAGGTGTACAGAACAATGCAATAGTTATCCTTTTCACCCCTCACAAAGTAACAACCCCCCACCCCCATCTACTGCCCTCCCACCCCTGATATCATGCTTATCTATTACAATTCCATTGAATCCGTTCCCACTCTCTACTCCATGACCCGTGACTATATGTATATATAATTATAGTTGACATACATTATTATTCAACATCAGTTTCAGATATACAGTGTGATGGTCAGGCCTCTACACCGGCTATGAAGTGGTCTCCCTAACATGTCCTTGAGTTTTTGAGAAAGGCTTTCTTGGGTCTTAAAGCTGACAAAAGGCCTCTGACAAAAGGCCTATTTAGTCTTCAAAATAATTTATGTATACCTCCAAGGGAGGAGAAAATACAGTTTTAAGTTTTTTAAAGTTAATTCTCTGAAAAAGGGAGGAGACAGCAAACCTTCCCCCTATTTTCAACAGCGAGAATTAAGCCTCAATTTTTAATCTGTATTTCTTTCAACCTAGAAGCTATGTAGACATGCAACCAGCCCGCCGAGCTATCACACATTTCAGCAAGAAGCAAGAATCTCCTTAAGGTCTCTCTACTGCCTGCCACATTCTTCCAGCTGTTTTCTTTCATATGGTAGGGCTGTTTATTTATTTATTATTGCTGCATTCCTCCTGCTAGCAATTTCTATCAGGATCAAATAGACTTATCTTTAAATAACAAACAAAATCTCAGTGGTTTCATGCCACAGGAATACCTCAGTCATGCTGGTCTGCTTTGGTTCTGGGCAACTATCTTGGGCAATTAGGACAACATTTGCATAAAAAAATAATGCATTAGTTTAGGATTCCATCACTCCTGCTCACAGCCCTTTGTTGGGACTAGTCGCGTGGTCCACCACATTGCACTGGGTATGAGGAAAGAGAGGGGAGGAGAATGAGATGTTTGGAGAGCAGTACAGTGTAGGCAAAAGGGCACTGGACCCAATTTTAGGGACTAGGAAAAGTTTACTGAAGGAGGGAATCTGCAATCTGACTCATCAAAGGTAAGCTGAATTTATTCAAGTTAAAATGGGAGGGTAGCAGGACGAGGCAGGGCATCGGGATGGATAGACAGCATGGGCAAAGCGTGGATGTTCTTTATTCATCGATTTTTGCTGCTGGAGTTTTAGAATTAGAAGCAGGAAGTAGGCAGAGTTTACTGGAAAGGCAGATAAAGATCAAAGCCAGGAGTGTTTTGAAAGCCCTGCCAAACAAACGAACAAACAAAAACTCAGTCTTTATCTTACGGGCAGGAGGGAGTTGCTCGTAACACAGGAAAGAAAACATAAAAATTTATCTAGTGATGTTGTGGAAGATATCTTACTAATGAATCCATTACTCGGTTAGTGATTACACATAAAGAGAGTAGCTAGGTGTCTTAATCTGTTTAAGCTGCTGTAACAAAATAGCATAGGCTGGGTGGCTTATAAACAACAGAAATTTGTTTCTCGTAGTCCTGGGGGCTGGAAGTCCAAGGTCATGGCACTGGCAGGTCTGGCGTCTGGTGAAAGCTTCCTGGTTCATAGGTGCTGTCTTTTCACAGTGTCCTCACGTGGTGGATGGGGTAAGGGGCTTTCTCCCATCTCTTTTCTCAGGGCACTAATCTTTTTCATGAGGGCTGCATCCCCACGACCTAATCACCTCCCAGTGGCCGCACCTCCTAATACAATCACCTTGGGGGTTAGGTTTTCAACATGAATTTTGGCGGGGGACACAAACATTCAGATCATAGAACGACATCACTGTTCTCGGAACAAGGATGGTGTGGAAAAAACCACAGGGGAATGAACCAGGCACCTGTGACCTGACTTGTGCTTCCACCAGCCACTTTCCGTTTGTCCTCAGGCACACCTTCTTAACCTTCTGAGACTGGATGTTCTCGCCCACGCAAACCTGATAAAAATGTTTTCTGCTATGTCCACTTTCAGTGCTTAAATGGAGATAAAATGGAATAATGTGCTTTGAAAAAGGGCTCTGAAAGTTATTAGATGTAACACATATGTGAGAGATAATTAAATTCAGCAAACACTTGTTTTTGCATGTACAGCCCTGGACAAGGCAGTGTAGGGATCAAAAAGGTTCCCTTGCTTTGAAGAAACCAATATTCTTCCAAGAAAAAAGGTGGAACACCAGGGCGTGATTTTGTAGTGTCAGCTGCAGACTGTAATTACAAAACAGATATTGTACTTTGTACAGTCACATACAAAGGAACCCTTTCTGGGGAAGTAGTCACCCAACCCCTGACAATCACTGTTCTAATTTCTGTCTCTATGAATTTGGCTACTCTCAGTACCTCATATAAGGAATAACATGCAGTACTTGTCCTTTTGTATCTGGCTTATTTCACTGAGCATAATGTCCTCCAGGTTTACCCATGTTGTAGCAGGTGTCAGAATGTCCTTCCTTTTTAAGATTGAATGATACTCCATTACACACAGAGGGTGCCAAAAAATATGTATACACATTTTAAGAAAGAAAAAAATGTATTAAAATTGCAATATTCAATATATATTGATAATAAAAGATGAATACAAGTCATGTGTATACAATTTTTTGGCACCCCTGGTATACATCACATTTTTAAAACCCTTTCATCCTTCGTTGGACACTTGGGTTACTTTCATGTTTTAGTCATTGTGAATAATGCTGCTATGAACAAGAGTGCAACAAATATCTCCTTGAGAACTTACTTTCAATTCTTTTGGGTGTATTCTCAGAAGTGAAATGGCTTCATCATATGGTAATCTCTTTTTTAATTTTCTTGAGAAACCACTATACTCTTTTCCCAGAGGTACTCTACCATTTTACTCTTCTACTAAAAGTGCACAAGGATTCCAATTTCTTCACATCCTCACCAACATTTGTTATTTTCTGGGTTTTTTTGTGGTTTTTTTTTTTTATAGTAGCCTTCCCGGAGGGTGGGAGGTACTTTGATTTGAATTTCCCTAAAAATTAGTGATGTTGAACATCTTTTCATGTATTTATTGGCTGTTTGTATCTCTTTAGAGAAATGTCTATTCAAGTCCTTTGCTCATTTTATAATTCGGCGTTTCATTTTTTTGTTGTTTAGGTTTAGAAATTCTCTCTATCTTGTGGATATTAATCCGTTATTGGATTTACGATTTGTAAATATTTTTTCCCATTCTTTGAGTTGCCTTTCTACCCTGCTGATACTGTCGTTTGATGCACAAATTCTTTAAATTTTCATTAAGCCCATTTTTTTTCTTTTGTTGACTGTGCCTTTGATGTCATAGCCAAGAGACCATTGCCAAATCCAAAGTTGTGAAGCTTTCCCCTGTTTTCTTCTAATAATTTTATAGTTTTCGGTGGTACATTTAGATCTTTAATCTACTTTGAGTTAATTTTTGCAGATAGACATTTTGGTGATAGACAGGTATAGGGCCAGTCTCATTCTTTCGCATGTGGATATACAGTTTGTCCAGCACCATTTGTTGAAAAGACGGTCCTTTCCCCATTGAATGGTCTTGGCATTTTAGTCAAAACTCAATTGATTATATATGTCAAACTCTCTTTTAAAAATTTATTTTTAAGTTAGAAATTTACATACAGTAACATTCACTCTTTGTGCTATACAGTTGTCTGGGTTTTGACAAATATATAAAATTTCATATCCACCATCATAATCAAGATAAAAAGGAGTTGCATTACCCTCCCAATTTTTTTATGTTGTTGCTTGTACTCAGGTCCTCTCCACACCCCACCATTGGGCAATCATTGGTCTATTTTCTATCCCTATAGCTTTATTTTTTCCAGAATTTAATAGAGATGGAATCATAGAGGATGTTGTCTTTTGGATCTGGCTTTTTTCACTTAGAACAATGCATTTATTTGCGATACATCCATCTTGTTGTACATATCAGTCCTCTGCTCCTTTTTAGCATGGAATAACACTCTACGGATTTACCACAGTTTGTTTATCCACTCAGTGAAGGATATTTGGTGTGCCAGTTTTGACAATGATGATAAAATGGTTATAAATATTCATGTTTAGGTTTTTAAATGAACATAGCATTTTATTTTTCTTGAGGAAATACTTAGGAGCAGGATTGCTGGGTCATATGTTAAGTGTATGTTTAAGTTTTAAAAATGCCAAAATTTCTTTCCAAAATGGCTATCTCACTTGATATTCCCACCAAAATTATGTGAGCATTACATTTGCTGTGCATCCTTGTCAGCACTTGTTATTGCCAGATTTTTCTTTTTAATTTTAGTCATTGTAATAGGTATATAGTTATAATAGGTATATAGTATTGCATTGTGGTTCTAATTTGAATTTCCTTAATGACTAATTAGGTTTGGCATCTTTTAGTGTGATGATTGGTCAACCATATGTCTTCTTTGGTCAGGTATCTGCTCAGATCTTTTACCTATTTTTAAAACAGGGTTGTATTTTTTCTTACTGTTAAGATTTGAAGTTCTTCATGTATTTTGGATACAGTATTTTGTCAAATATGTGACTTTCAAATACTTTCTCCAGAGCTGTCTCTTGTCTTTTTATTCCCTTAAATATGTCTTTTGAAGATCCAAGTTTTTAATTGTGATCCAATCCAATTTATCATTTATTTTTCTTTTTTGGATCATGCTTTGATATACCATTTAAGAGTTCTGTGCCTTACCTTTCATTTTAACTGATTAAAACTCATGCATTAGAGAAAGAAGGATTTCTCTCTGTATTTGTGAACAAAAAAAGGTTAGGGATAAATTAAGCCTATGTATAATATCACAGAATCCTTGATTATAGACTATAAGGTGTGATAAAAAAATACAGTGAACGTTTACATGAAAAAATTGATTACGGTAAAGGACACATTGCCATTAATTCCCCTCAGAATTCTCCCCCACGCTTTGAACACACTTATCCCATTGTTCTTGCTACTTTCTGAGGCAGCTCTGGAAGTCCTCTTTCATGAGTGTCTTTACTTCATCCTCCATCATGACGATGCTTCATGTCACACATTTCTGGTACAGAAATTTCTGTCAAATAAAAACATTACTGTGTGTCCTCATTCACTTTATTCACTGGATCTGGCACCGTGTGACTTCTGGCTCTTCCCCAAAGTCAAAATGATTCAGGACATCGAGGCAGCCACGACAGCACAACTACAGACACTCACGAAAGAGGGCTTCCAGAACTGCTTCAGAAAGTGGCAAGAACGATGGGATAAGTGTGTTCAAAGCGAGGGGGAGTATTTTGAGGGGGATTAATGGTAATGTGTCTTTTATTGTAATAATTTAAAAAAATTTTTAAACATTCACCGTATTTTCTGATCATACCTTGTATATGGCTGCTTCCATTAACCGTCTTCCAATAGGAACTGTAGTGTGATATTTAAGTATTGTTTTACATTTCCAGTTGTTAAAAATCTGTAACCAGATTTCTCCAGGCTTCTAAACAGAGACAATACCATCAAAGTCAGTAAGATGTATATTTTAAGCACCAATTTTGTTACATTAAGCATTGTGCTGAATAGGGAGGCTATGTTTTGAACACTAATTTTATAAAAATGGATTTTGGGCTCACTTGAATTCTGTTATGCAGGCATTTGAATTTATCCTGATTTTTGTTCACAATATTTATGAGATTATATGTGAAAATGCCACATCAGCAGTTAAAAAAAAAGCCGTTTTGTCTTTTGCAGGGTAAACTGTACCTAATCATGACTCCTGTGACTTCCTCTGCAGGTATGGGTATCTTTTTTGATTTTTTGAGGCTATAAGCTTGCATGGCAAATTGGTTGTTTTTTCACTCTTAAAAAGCAAACTACCATCATTCTGGTATAAGGGCCATTGCTCTAAGCTGGCATGGGCCTATGAATTCGTCTCCCCAAAGCCATGCCCCTCTGAGCACAATTCCCACAGCAAGCTTCCTGGTGCTGCTCTCCTGCCCTCAACAGGTGTGTGCTCCCTGGGGCTTATGGAGTGGGATTACAATCGTGAGTACGTATGAGGTGTGTTCCTCCAGAAAGAACACTCTAGATCCATTCCTAATGTTCATTTTTATATTTTAGTGCTCCAGTGGCATTTAATGATGCAATTGAAAAAAAAGCCTATCAGTGAAAACAATACTTTGACATATCCAATTTTATTACTTTCGAGTACCTGCAGCACTATAAATACATGGCTAAAAATTGCTACCAAATTATATACCTGTGCAAAGGGCTTTTATCTCTCTGGATCATGGACAAGCCCTTCTGCCCTTGGCCCCTTGTAAAAAAATTGAGATTGTCTGGAACTTGTAACATAGATGCACAAAATAATGGTCAATATCCCAATTATTAAATGGGGGATATCACCCCAATAAACTTAAATACATAAATAAATAAAGGGCAAAGGACACTCAAAATTCAGAAAAGGAAAAATTACAAGTGAACGGTATATCCAGGGACAGCCCTCCAACTAGAAAGAGAAAGAAACAAGCAAAAGAGACAGAGAAAAAAAAAAAGAATATCAAAGTCCTCTTTCAAAACAGAAACATCTTACATCATCGTTTTAATGCTTGTGGTTCTGGGGGCAAGAGGAGACCTCTCTTTGTATCATTAGAGGGTGTATGAATTGATGTTTCCTTGAAAGCAATTTACTATATTATGAAGAACCTTGAACATGAAGAATTCTTTAACCCAGTAATTTAAAAAGGCTCTGCTAAGAAAATAACCAGAGGTTCGCCCATGGCCCATGTGTTCACGTGTGACTTTATTTACAATAGCTCATTTTGGAAGCATCTTAATGTCAAATTAATGATGTCACCCCCATATCTAATACAGTCACTAAATTCTTGACTTTAAAGGACCCAGAGATTACGTATCAATACAATAGTAAGTGAAAATATACAGGATAAATATTTTTATTGATTGATTTTTAAATACATTGGAAAAAAGCACACCAAAATAGTAAAAGTTCTTATCTCAAGATGGAGAAATTAGGAGTGATTTTAAGATTTTCTTTTCAACATCTCTCTCTAAAGTCTGTGTTAGTTTTTTAATCAGACAATATAAGGTATTTAAAAATCTCAATACTAAGGAAAAATGGAGAGTTACAAAGAAAAATCTTAAAGTGCTAAATCTGCCCAGGTTATGAAGACAGATTTCTGACCTAACGGGACCTACATAGGAATAAAGGCTGAGCCGCATCCCACGGCCTCAAGGTTCCTGTCCACAGGGCGCTCGGGGTTCTCACTCCTGCCTGGACCCCATCCCTTACTGTAAAAGTAGCAAATGCTCATTGCCAAACATCCACACAGTGTGAAAGAATATAACATAAGAATAGTAAACCCCCTCCTACTTTCTTTCCCCACAATTATTTTTACTTTGAAAACATTGGGGGTATAATGTGCATGTAATAATGGTAGTATTTAGTAAAGCGTTCCATGCTTTCTGACCAATGTCAGGACACAGGACATTTTTCATCACCCCCAAAATTGCACACGTGCCTCTTTGCAATCCATTCTCTTCCAACCCCCAAACCCAGGCAACCACTGATTTGCTTGCGGTCGAACTACAAATTAGTTTTGCCTCCTGAAGAATTTCCTGTGAATGGAATCATACTCATGGCTCAGAGCAATGTTTTTAAGATCCCTCTACACTGTGTCACTGGTAGGTAGCGTTCTGTTGTATGCCTTTAACTGTTAGTATATACTGGCTGGTCCGTGGGCTCATGGACTGACAGCCATTTGGATTGTTTCCACGTTTTGACAGTTACAAATAAGGCAGCTTTGACCCTTCAGGTACAAGGTCTCCTTCCTTCCTTCCTTTAAACATTTTTTTAAAATTTAAACTTCTAAAATTTTAAATAATTTTTCAATTTTTCAATTACAGCTGAGACACAATATTATATTAGCTGCAGATGTACAACATAGTGATTTATAGACATTTATGGATATAGTGATTTATTAGATATGTATATAACTTAGGAAGTGATCTCCCCAATAAATCCAGTCCCCATCTGACACCCCACAGTTATTACAATATTATTGACTCTATTCCCTATGCTGTACTTCACATCCCCATGACTATTTTATAACTACCAATTTGTATTTCTTAATCCCTTCCCTTTACACCCAGCCCTCCAACCCCACCTCCCAGCTGGCAACCATCAAAATGTTCTCTGTATCTATGAGGTTATTACTGTTTTGTTAGTTTGTTTATTTTGTTCCTTAGATTCCACATATAAGTGACATCACATCACATCTGTCTTTTTCTGTCTGACTTATTCCACTCAGCACAAGTATAAGATCAGGTGCCAGCATGGTTGGTGTCTGGGGAGGGCTCTCTTCCTGGATTGTAGGTAACACCTTCTCTCTGTGTCCTCACATGGCAGAAGAGAGAGAACGAGTTTTTTGGTGTTTCTTCTTATAAAAGCTTTAATCCTATCATGAGGGTCCTGCCCTCATACCTAATTTAAACTGAATTGTCTTCCAAAGGCCTCATCACCAAATACATCACATTGAGGGTTAGAGCTTCAACATATGAATTTCGGAGTGGGGGGCGGGACACAATTTGGTACAAAGCAGTGAGATAAGAGTTGAAGTTCATTCTTCTCTTTCATGAGTAGCCAGTCATTCCAGCACTGTGTCTCTTCCACATCAATTTTTTTCAGCATATTAAAAAATATTAATTGGCTATAGCAGCAGGTGTCTATTTTTGAACTCTTCATTCGTTTCCACTGATTGTTAGGTTTACCCTTATGTCAGTACCACACTGTCTGGGTTACTGAAGCTTTATAGCAAGTCTTAAATTCAGGGAGTGAAAATCCATCACACATGTTCTTTTCCTAATTGTTTAGTTATTCTAGGACTTTTGCAATTTTATATACATTTTAGAATCAACTTGTCATTTACTTCAGAAAAGTCAGTTGGAATTTTTATTGGGATTGCACTGAATCTATAAATTGATTTGGAGGGGATTTTCATCTTAACAGTGTAGAGTCTTCCAATTCATGAACATGGTTTATACCTCCATTTATTTTGATCTTCTTCAATTTCTCTCAGTCATGTTTTATGGTTTTAATTGTACAGCTCTAGCACATATTTTGTTAAATCAACCTATATATTTCATATTTGGATGACATTATAAGAGGTATTTAAAAAAATTCCCTTCCAATTATTCATAGAGTATATATAAAGTAAAATTGATTTTTATGTATTGACCTTATATGCTGTAACCTTGCTAAATTCACTTCTAAGTTCTAGTAGCTTTTTGTTAAGATTCCTTTATATTTTTCCTTTAGTATTTTAAGGGTAAAGAAGTTTGATTTTCATTACTCTGCACTCTGATTCCCCCATGGGCAATAATATTGGAGTATGAACTCATTCCAAAGAATCACACATGGTAAATTAGAGAGTTCTTGTCTATCTGCTGATTCTTCAATGAAATAGACACCCACTAACTCATAAATTTTGCTTCAAGCACCATTAGTTATAAAGATAGTTTTCCCCCTTGTTTGTACTACAAAGTCTTGTTGTACCAGTCCCATTCTCACCTGGCCTCAAATTCCTGACTCATGACAGGTAAGACTGACTATTTCTAGACATTGAGTTTGTAATGCTCTCTCTACCATTTGATTGCAAGTTTCTCCCAAGCTTTTTGCTTGGTTTCTCGTTCCTCACATTTCCAGTTCTTTGGGTTAAGGATATATCTTAGTAGAGTTCTTTAAGAAAGTAGTTTTTCAGACCTACACAGAAACATCATTTAGAAACTAGAAAAAGGCAAATTATATAAATTCTGATAAAGAGTAGGTAATTGATTCTTAAATGCCCGTTATGTGACAATATTGTGATGTATGCTTCTTTATATTCACTAACTCACTCAACCTCTCCATGCACATCTAGGAAGTAGAGATTATAATTCTCCTGATGCAAAGAACAAAACTGAAGGCCAGAGGGGCTAAATGGCTAAGTTATTAATGGCTGTGAGCTAAATCTAGCTCTCTCTGATTCTCAGGGCACATAGGAATGGGGGTGTCAAGATAGTTTCTAGATATTAAGATACTTGTTTTTTAAGAAGTTTTTCTGGTAAGATAAAAAATAAATTACCTTCTAAACCAACAAACCAAACAAAAATCAAAACCAAACAAAACAGGAAAAACTTGAGCATTATGGACCTTATCTGTTCTGATATATTTATATTTTTCATGTATCTTAAAATTATTAAAGTCATCAAGATCATAAAGACTAATTAATATGGAATGTCAAATAAACCAAATAATTTAATGTCCTGATGGAGAATATCAATTTTAAAACCTGTGGAGAGCTAGTATACTCCCCTTAATGACTTTGAAGAAACAAGAAATTGGTAAAAACTAATGTGGACAAGTATAAGTGAAGTGAAAATTCTGTATAACCACTATAAAAGAAAAAAATAACTACTTGTTTTTTAAAATCCCAAGACACCTAATGAAATGAGGGAACAGACAAGACAGTTAAATTGCTCTACATAAAAATAGGAAACAGAAGTACCCAGGAGAAAGATCCAGGCAAGGGGATCCTGGAGGTAGTGTTGCTAAAAGATGAAAAATAAACCATTCCTTTTTGTATATAATATATACATTAATGCTTAAGGCGAGTAAAAGAAAAATTATCATAAATTTTAGGTCAGTGAATCTCTAAACTCTAATGCCTTTTGCATAACCATATAAGTTTTAAAATAGTGTGCTTGTCTAAAAATATTCATTTTCTTATGAAGATTTTTATTTCCTGAAAGTTACCTAGAATGTGATTACTATTGCACTGTCAATATCTAGGCAGACAGAGATAGACAACCGAGTGAACTCATAGTCTCTAAGTCAACTTACGGTTGGAGGCTGTTAGTGAAATCAGTGTGGGAGGGACGTTAATATTACCTTCGTGCAAAAGGGCTCCAGACTCATAAAATTACTTCGGTTCAGTTATTTTCCCTTAAAATTTTAAAAGACATCTGGCCTACCCTACATGGATATTTTAGAATCTGACTTTGAGTAGGTATTTGACAGTTTTGTAAGAAGAAAGTTATGAAATTAAAATTGCTATATCAAGTGCAACAAAACTTCACTATAATTACCTTATATACCACAAGTTCATTTTCAGAATGTGACAAATCACATCTCCACCTGTGGAATCTGATACATTAAACGTCTTTCTTATAGAACCCCAACACCAAGGTCTTGTCTTGGATGCATGACATCAATATCACAAATGGGTCATAGCAGATATTTATGGGTTCCAACCATATGCTGCGATCCAGAAATCTACATATTTGCCTTGACATGCTAAGTTTAAAATCTGAGTTACACATTTCATAAATTATGGATTTGCCAACATTTCTTCAGTCATTCTGAATTAATATTTATACTTAACTAATATTGTTAACATAAACATATGGATAAATGAATATTGTATTAACTTATTTCAAGCCTAAAAAGTAGCCTTTCAACAATTTTATACAAAAACTTCTTTCAAACTGTTTGCATATTTAAAAAAATTCTCAAAAATAATGCCAGCAATGATATGTTGAATTTTATGGGAACCCTATTATACCAAAAATACAGTAGGGAGCAACAAAATACAGTATTAAAATAATATTGCAAACTATATTGCATGATTAAGATAATTATGAAACTAGTGTGATGCCAGTCTGAGACTGAAATTATTTCGAATGGGTTAATTAAGCTGCCACAGAATTAACACAATTTTATTTGATTATTAACAAGAATCTGGAGAAATTACGTATTTGGTTATTTGGTGAGTTCTACCCTTTATAAAAACAATGGTCATCCTGGGCACTGGTGGACAGAACCTTTGCTTCAGGAGGCTGGCTGTCACACACATCCTATGCTCAGTTGCCACACGTAGAGCTTACCTTCCTGACTCAAATGTGAACCACGTTGAGTCCCGCCCGTATCTCCGCAGTGAGCTGAGAGGCCACATCACCAGTTTGACCTTGGCGTTGTGGATATCCCAGAGATAGATATTCTCATGAGTGATCTGCATTGTGCATTCACCATAAATATCCAGATTTGGTGTAGGCATAAGATACACATTGAATCGTTCTGCAAAGAAGCAAAGAATGGAGGAAAATAAGTGAAAAGAGGTGTGACTCTTCATGGCAGCACTGCATTAATTTGTATACCTACCTACAGCCTATGATGTCCCTTGGTGTCACTGAAATACACTTGCAAAACATTGCTTTTTTTCCCCATTTGGCATATGAAAAAAAGGAGTTAAAGTATTCTTAATCGTTAATTAATTCACTTGCTCATTCTAAAACTTTTTATTGCATGCACGCTCTACAGTGGGGATTAAATGGTTAAATTGTATGATGGAAAGAGAAGGGTAAAAAGCTATGTGGGTTTCAGCCCAAATGGTGCTTTGCTGTCTGCTTCTTCACACATCTTAAGTGGATAGCATACGTGTATATACAATTCCTGAGGGGGGTGTCTTACTTAACTTAAGCAAGCATTTACTCATTTTCACCTTTGTGGCATGAAGTATTCAATGCACACTCAGACTGGCTCTTAAAACACATTGCATTCATGGTCAAATTCAGCATATGATAATAACAGGTATTCATTACTGCTTTCTGCACAACTTCAGACATTGTTTTAGCAAGCAAAAGAAAAATACATAACTGCTTTCATTCCTGGATAGCTTATAGTTGAAAATCTGATTACTGGGCAATAATTCCAAACACTGCTTTATAACTTTGTGTATCTCAAAGGCTACTGCAAAATTCCACAGCCCTCGATTCTCCTTTAAATGCATCACACGCATTTTATTTTGAAAATCAGGTTAGTTCGTAAGTTTCAGGAATTGGGACCCTGGGATGATCTATGAAGTGTACTATGAAATAGCCCTAGTTCCTAGGACCATCGTCTTGGTTTATAGTAAGTGATCAATAAATATTGGGTAACTGTATGAATACAGTAAATATATGCCTTGATGATTATGGGCTTCAAGATTTGAGAAATTATAAAAATACTGAGTCATGATAATGAAAAATTAAAGAATTACTGGCAGATACATCCTTGTGTGTTTGCGTTTAATTGTGAATAGTGCTTTAAAGGCAGTGCTGTTGAATTCATTATTTTAAGAGGCATAATGGTGCAGCTGCAGTTGGAAAAGGATTGATATGTTTAGGAATGTGCTATCATCCATTAGAATCCATCAGGATGCTTGCTGGTACTGAGTTGGCATTGTCTGTATAATAGAAAGAATCTTTTCTGTGCCAGGTATTTTGCAGAATAAGGATTTGCTGATGCCAAAAAAAAAAAAAGATTCCAAATTGGTTAAATTAAATTTAAGGATGCTAGCTTGAAATTTAGTGACCATATGGACAGTATTCATATTCAATGTCTAGATATTTTTTACCAAAATAACCTAATGATTCAATTTTTTACTAGATTATTGACCCATAAAACTAATAGTATACAGATTTCACATTCATTTCCTAAAATAAGGACAAAATTAGATAAATTTTATAGCTGAAAAAGAAAAAAGAACATTGCCTTATTAATTATCTGCAATAAAAAGCACATATATGTATATATACAAGGTGTGATCAAACAATACAGTGAATGTTTAAAAAAAATTTATTACAATAAAAGACACATTGCCATTAATCTCCCTCAAAATACTCTCCCTCACTTCCAAGACACTTATCCCCTCATTCTTGCCACTTTCTGAAGCAGTTCTGGAAGTCCTCTTTCATGAGTGTCTTAGTTGTGCTGTCGTGGCTGCCTCGATGTCCTGACTCATGGTGACTTTGGGGAAGAGCCAGGAGTTACACGGTGCCAGATCCGGTGAATAAGGTGGATGAGGACACACCGTAATGCTTTTATTTGACAGGAATTGCCGTACCAGAAGCGATGTATGACACGGAGCATTGTCACGATGGAGCATGATTTACGGCACACTTTAAAACACACTTTCTCTCAACCGTAGCTCACACCTGACTGACTGCACTGAACACGTTGAAACTTGTCACACACTGTTGCTAAAGTTCAACGTGCCACTTCCCACATTGAAGATCCCTGCCTTTCTGTTGGATGGACTTGGCAGCAGCATTCACCATATTCTGTGATCACAGTGGAAAGCCTCCATGTTACACTTCACTTCTGGTACTGCAATTTCTGTCAAATAAAATCATTACGGTGTGTCCTCATCCACCTTATTCACTGGATCTGGCACCGTGTGACTTCTGGCTCTTCCCCAAAGTCAAAATGACCATGAAAGCTAAATGTTTTGAATTGACTGAGGACATCAAGGCAGCCATGACAGTGCAACTAAAGACAGTCACAAAAGAGGACTTCCAGAACTGCTTCAGAAATTGGCAAGAATAATGGATAAGTGTGTTCAAAGCAAGAGGGAGTATTTTGAGGGGGGTTATCGGCAATGTGTGTTTTACTGTAATAAGTTTTTTGAAATTTAAACATTCATTGTATTTTATGATCACAACTGGTATATTCCATAAATTCTAAAATTCTTATATGCAACCAAGTAAGGCAACAACATTTAGCATTAAATACATCACTCATACTCCCACTCCAAGTCTCACTCCAATGGGGTTACAAGTAGTAAATCGAAGGGGCATGATTCATAAGAGTAGAAATGAACCTTGGACTCAACAGAGTGACTCAGGGACGTATAGAATGCCTGAACAGCAGGCTTCTTTTCTTTGGTCAAGACCCTTTTGATGAAGTTCAGCTTTTACATTTGAAACTAGTCATATGTCAGTGACATCTGTTGTGCATAAGGAAAGTGTTGTTACAAAAGCAAGAAGTAAAACATTCCTCTAAATTCCTTCCTTTCCATGAATTCCAGAGTCTTAAGGTAGCAACCTAAGAACCACTGCCAAAATGCCAAAAAATAACAACACTTCTCCCAAAATATTGAGATGAATAAACATCATTAACCAATTTTACTGTTGCTGAATGCTACATTGACCCTTGATATTCATACTCATAGTTTGGTATTTGAAAAAAAAACAACACCAAAAAACAGGATATGTAAAAAAATAATCCTGACATTGAGTGTCCTTCAGATAGATGGTACATGAAACACTATGTATAACCTACAGAGTATTACAGAGGACTCAGAAAAAGCATTATATTTTCACAGAAATGTCTGTGTGCGCTCATGTTAGCAGATAAAACCTAGCAATAATAAAGAGAGAAAGAGTACAATCATAGTGGACACTAGAGAAAGCCGGGAAATAATGAATAAGTGAATTTAGTAAGATACACATGACATAGCGCTCTAGATATCAAAATCATTGAGGCACATTTACAAACAAATACAAAGTGATCGAATATGTTGCCCCAAAGGAGTCCTTCCACGGCCAGCTCCTGGCAACATTAAGCAGGTGAAATGTACCCATGGTGACCCTTGCCTCTTGCCTGCCTTCTAACTTCCCGAGTCTTCACACACTGTTTCCTAGCAACTCAAGTTAACCCCTTCTTGTTATGATCTGGAATGCTCCAATCTTCCTTTTTCATGCTATATCTTACATCTTAGGAAAGAAATTATCCTAAGAAATTGTATTTTCAATTTTTAAATATTCAAGTCCATCTTTTCCTAATGGCTAATTTCCAAGGATTTGAGAATCAATTAAAAAGTAGACTAATGTAATCCACCAGAAAACTAGGCATGTAAAGATGAAGGCGGCACATCAAGTTATCTAGTTAAGTTCTACTTCTTTGAATTCCATTGCAAGGAAAGGAAGGTTTCTGCATTTGCCATGAATAAATTATTTTATGCCCTTAGTAGCGTAAAACATGCTATTTTGCTAAATAAAAGTCGATACATTTCCCATTGCCATAGTTAAAATTGGCTCCACTAAATGACTTTTTTAAATGTTTACCTTTGTGAAATTATTGTATCAGGCAGGTGTTTAAAACCACACTCTAATAATGTCACTTTCTTATTTAAGAAACTACACATTTGATTTCTGCCTACAGGACTAGTTTTCAGGATTTAGGGTGCATCAGCGTTACCTAAAGGGAAGGCCTGGGCGTCCTCCATGCTTATCATTTCTGCCACAGGCATGGGGCGGACAATGTGGTGTTTTTCTTCATGTGCCCTGGGGACGTTGATGCTGTTGTCCTGAGGACCACACTTTGAGAACTGTTGATTTGTGAACCTCATCTTAGAATATTACCAGGAAGTAGCAGTATTAGAGAAACCATGAGGGATGATATTGGAAAGTGATGTCATGTTTCAGTAGAACAAAACAGCACATTTTATTCAAGAAATTCTCTGACGTCTGCTCAAATAAATTAATCCTCAATTAATTTGTATACTATAATAAATTAATCCATTTCAATTGACTCATGACTGATTTGGCAAGAAAGGGTTTTTATGCCAGTTGGAACAAAAGAAGAGGCATAGAAAGGAAGGTGTATGAAAGACACAGTTTATAATTCATCAAGATATGTATATATTCCAACTATTTTCTTTTAAGGTAATCAACAACAACAACAATAAAAAGACTATTAAGGAGCACTAAACAACACATTTTCAAGTACCCAGAAGAATTAGAAAAGAAACTAGTTGTCTAAATAAAGATAATAATATCCTGAAACAGAAATAAAAATTCTAATATGAAGGGTTGTGAAGACTGCGGAATGTGTGAAGAAATAAATTTTTGAAGAGGCTAGTAAAAAACATAGTAGATTAAAATGTATTCACACATATCAGCTACAGAATTCTAGAGTAGAAACAAATCCCAAACATATTGCCCATAAAATTGTATTTTGGTAAAATTTATGTTTGTTTAATGGCTGATATGCAAGAAAATAAAATATTATTTTAAATGGTCAAAAACAATAACAAGGTGGAATGGTCATTAAACTGATTGTTGTGTCTAACAAAGACACTACTATCGAATCTGCAGTTACATTTACAAGGGCATTTTTACACTAGGGCTGGATTAAGAGGTCCAAAGGGAGAAGCTATGTTTCAGAAGGCCTGGGACACAGGGTCACACTCACAATTTCAGGAACAGTCCCAAGGAGACTACAAAACAAGGTTTGGTCAAATTGAATTGGACAAG